CTAACTAAATTAACCCGCTAACGTGCACTAACACCACTTCTTCCTCCAGAATGTCTCCACAGAGTAAAATACACAATGTCTGTTTCTGCCGACAGGAAGTCAAGAGGAGCGCTGGCAGCTCCAGATCGTGGCCAAAGGCAGAGTCACCTGTCCCAAATGTAAGAGTGTGAGCAGGAAGACGGTGGAGGGGCTGAAGAAGCACATGGAGAACTGCAGACTGGTGAGCAGACATTAGACACGAACTAAAGCTCGGTTCACTCCCGACATTAACATGTGTCCCTGTGTGCAGCAACCATTCACCTGTCAACACTGTGGGAAACAGCTGAAGTCTTCCACAGGGATGAAGTATCACATCATGGCTCTGCTCGAGCTGTCTGCAGGAGAAAATACCTTCGATAATCTGTAATGAGTCGATGCATGGCGGAGCTTCAGCAGCTCACACTCTTATTTCAAACACCTTCATTTAAGAAGCCTACATACGATATGGCTTGATAATCTCTCGACGTGGACTCGTTCAACATGTCTGCCCCACTCTGCTGCAGAAGAGAGAAAACTCCGTCACAAACTCACTGAAGCACTTTCACTTTCCACCACAGAGCACAGGGAGGGGGGGAGGGGAGGAGCGAACAAAGTGAGATTAGATAACAAACTGCTTGTTATCTATCTCCCCCATCTTCTCCTGTCCCTCAGACATGATTCGGACCCTGTTTCGGGTTTGCATCCTGGCACCGGCGAGGCTTTGCTACCTGACACCGGCACGGTGGTTCATGTGGCTCGCAACGATCATGATGTCGTCCCCCAGGAATCTCCACGTGGAGCCGGTGCCAGGATGTAAACCCGAAACAGGGGCGGATGATGGGGGACGTCTGTGAATAGTGGACGATGAGGGAGTTAACTTTTTCTCAATGTCACGACGAGCAATGGGTCCAGTTTGAAACACTAGATGGCGCCCTGAGCCATACTCAACCCATATATAAAGACTCTTTGTGGTAATCTGATATTAAAACTCCCATAAGAACAGTCATATAATCTAGTTGCTTAAAAACATCTTCTAAAATTCTGTTAATTTGAGAAACACTACAGTCAGTATTAAAAGACACTTTAAAGAAATCTGAAGTTGATGATTCAAGTCACACTTACATCGGTGGATGGACCAGGATTCCTGCAAGTAAGAAAACGAGAGAAAAACATGAGTGATGATAATCAAACAGCATCGGGAGCAGTCAACAGGAACAGTAATATATCAGTAAATCCCCCCCCTCCCTGTGCTCTGTGGTGGGATGAGAAAGTGAAAGTGCTTCAGTGAGTTTGTGACGGAGTTTTCTTTCTTCTGCAGCAGAGTGGGACAGACATGTTGAACGAGTCCACGTCGAGAGATTATCAAGCCATATCGTAAGTAGGCTTCTTAAATGAAGGTGTTTGAAATAACTCCAGAGACTGTGAGCTGCTGAAGCTCCGCCGAGCATCGACTCATTACAGATTGTCGAAGGTATTTTCTCCTGCAGACAGCTCGAGCAGAGCAGCGGTGACGAAGCAGTTTCTGATGTTTGAYTCTGTGAATGTTTTATTGTTGTGTTGTGATGTTTTCTTTGACCTTTGTTCAGTTTGTGTTGKTTTGTGTGGACTGACAGTTTCCATGTGTGTGTTTGTATTTCAGAGACATGCCTCAGATACAGCCAGGTGAGAAAACACGTTCATGTGTGTATCCTGTGACGACACATGTCAGTCTTTCTATGTGTATCAACCATGCGAGTATTAAAAACAACAAACTGCACTTCTGCTTTTTAAAATGTGTTGATTCTTGAAGTGACCGGAGCCTTTAGCAGCAAAGAGCAAAGAGCTTGTGGAGAATCAATAGTGAAAGTGAATTTCCTCGTCATGGGACCGATAAAAGACTTTAAATAAAATAAATCTTATTAGTCAGGAACTAGAACGTCTCTCAGCAAATCTCTGAATAATCCTTCATATCCAGTTCTTCGTAGAAATATAAAGTATGGCAGGAATATAAAATGACAGAGGGGAGTGGTCGACTAGGTTTCAGTGTTTCTGATATATTAAACCAAAAATAAATATTTCAACATACTAGAATATTACAACCAGAGAAATTCTATAATGTAATTGTAGAGATTCCTGACGGACGACATCATGATCGTTGCGGGCCACATGAACCACCGTGCCAGTGCCGGGCAGCAACGCTGTGCCAGGTAGCAACGCTGTGCCAGGTAGCAACGCTGTGCCAGGTAGCAACGCTGTGCCAGGTAGCAACGCTGTGCCAGGTAGCAAATCACCGGTGCCAGGATGCAAACCCAAAACAGGGGCCGAATCATGTCTGAGGGACAGGAGAAGATGGGGGACGTCTCTGAATAGTGGACGATGAGGGAGTTAACTTTTTCTCAATGTCACGACGAGCAATGGGTCCAGTTTGAAACACTAGATGGCGCCCTGAGCCATACTCAACCCATATATAAAGACTCTTTGTGGTAATCTGATATTAAAACTCCCATAAGAACAGTTCTGTTAATTAGAGAAACACTACAGTCGGTATTAAAAGACACTTTAAAGAAATCTGAAGTTGATGAATCAAGTCACACTGAGATCGGAGGATGATAATCAAACAGCAGTCAACAGGAACAGTAATATATCAGTAAATCACCTGTTGAATTCCAAGAGACGTGTCTGCCCCACTCTGCTGCAGAAGAAAGAACAAACTCACTGAAGCACTTTCACTTTCATTCCCACCACAGGGGGGGGGGGCAAAGTGAGATGAGATAACAAGCAGTTTGTTGTGGTGGGATGAGAAAGTGAAAGTGCTTCAGTGAGTTTGTGACGGAGTTTTCTCTCTTCTGCAGCAGAGTGGGGCAGAGATGTTGAACGAGTCCACGTCGAGAGATTATCAAGCCATACCGTAAGTAGGCTTCTTAAATGAAGGTGAAATAACTGCAGAGACTGTGAGCTGCTGAATCTCCGCCGAGCATCGACTCATTACAGATTGTCGAAGGTATTTTCTCCTGCAGACAGCTCGAGCAGAGCAGCGGTGACGAAGCAGTTTCTGATGTTTGACTCTGTGAATGTTTTATTGTTGTGTTGTGATGTTTTCTTTGACCTTTGTTCAGTTTGTGTTGGTTTGTGTGGACTGACAGTTTCCATGTGTGTGTTTGTATTTCAGAGACATGCCTCAGATACAGCCAGGTGAGAAAACACGTTCATGTGTGTATCCTGTGACGACACATGTCAGTCTTTCTATGTGTATCAACCATGCGAGTATTAAAAACAACAAACTGCACTTCTGCTTTTTAAAATGTGTTGATTCTAGAAGTGACCGGAGCCTTTAGCAGCAAAGAGCAAAGAGCTTGTGGAGAATCAATAGTGAAAGTGAATTTCCTCGTCATGGGACCGATAAAAGACTTTAAATAAAATAAATCTTATTAGTCAGGAACTAGAACGTCTCTCAGCAAATCTCTGAATAATCCTTCATATCCAGTTCTTCGTAGAAATATAAAGTATGGCAGG